ACCCGGTCCCCGGGGCTCAGGTCCTTCACCAGCTTGGTGCCGCCTTGCTCCAGGTGCACTGTGGCCGTGCCGGGGAAGCAGCCCCCTGATTTGGCGGCCACCGAGTTTTCTGTGCAAGGAGAGAGGCACAGTGGGGTTAGAGGAGGCACCTGCTGGGCCGGGACATGGGGCACGAGGAGACACATGGCTTCCCTGGCCACCCCAACCCACCCGAGAAGCACAGGGCACAGGATGCAGCCTCGCTCCCCTCTGAAATTTCTCCATCCTCATCTACGAACGTGTCCCGTTTGCGCTCGGGGGTCAAGTGAGAGTTCTCTTCCTGCCACACTTGAGCTGGTGCACCTCCCTCTGGGACACGAGTTACAAGCCTGGTTTGTCTTATGAAGGACGTGGGCCAAAATATTTCTGCTGAGAAAGCTGTTCCAGGGGAAATCTCTTCTGGAAGAGTTTCCCACTTGGCTGCTGTTTGCCCTGCATCGACACCTGGTGCCAGACAACTCACAGGCTTTCAAAGCCGAGCACTTTTGCTGGAATAAGGTTTCTCCCTAGGTGAGCATCCACCCTCACAATGCTCAGGATCCCCACACAGCTCTTACTCCAAGAGCCCATCTAGGACAGCACACAGCAGAGAGCAGAGGGAGGCTTTGCCCTGAGTGGCACATGAATTTGCCCATCGCTCCACTGGAAATCAACGGCCCAGGTTTCCTGAGCCTCCCTCCACCACGTGGCACCAATCCTGTGCTGCCTTGGCATGGTAGCTGCTGAGGCACAGGCCACCTCTTGTAACAGCCCTGCCTGGCATCCACAGCATTCCATTTCACTCCTCTTTCCAGAAAACAAAACAAAACAAAACAAAAAACAAACAACCAAACAAAAAAGACAACCAAACATCTTCGTTGCCTCTCCCACCCCTCTGGAAGGAGGATGTTGTTCCCTGTCCCAGGGCATGTGATCCCCAGACAGTCTCACACCTGTGCTGGACCTGAGCACATTCCTCCTCCACCTCCTCCAGCTCCTGAGTTACTCCAAGTTGAGATATCAAACACTGTCACTGACTGCTGCTGCTTTCCAGTGCCACTGAGAGGAATAATTATTGTTTCAAAGAAAGCAGAAATAGCAATGAGACTTGAAGGGTCTCTTGCAAACCCCCTTCTCAAGCTCAGACACACGTGGGGTGGTGGAGAGGACCTCTGCCCTGCTCCAGCCTGCTCGCTGGCTTAACCGATGGACTCTGCAGTGCTCCTAGGAGTTCTGATTTTCTAAATATTGGGTAGTAGCCCACAGTATGTCACAGTAGCAAGTGTAATTGCTACAGCTGTTGACACTCCTGCCTTCCCCGGGGTTCTCCTAGTTGCTCCCTATGCCAGTTCAGAGTCCTGGTGATTTACCTCCTAAAGCCAGTCAGATTTTATGTTTTGCCTCTGTGGCTGGGACTGAAGCTCTTATGATTTAAATAAAACCTTATAGTGGCTCCTAATGACTTTCTCAGGAAGGACAGGAAGGGTGAAAATTAGACCGTTATTGATTTGCTAACGACTTTATCACTTCTCCTTCAGAAATGAAGCAGCGAGATCTCCAAGGCCTCTTCAGGGAGGACATGGCAACAAACAAGCTATGTGCTTTATGTGGAGCCCTCTGCTAGCAAACTACACCTTCCTACAAGCCGGCAGTGAAGGTCTGGCTAGAGCTTTGTTTGCATATTCAGGGACTTGATGAATAGATCTAGTAGTGTAGCAGCTCTACAAACATGCCAGTGAATTGGCAGAGGTGTGAAAATCTGCTTCTTTGAGCAGTGCTTGTTTGGGTTCTCTAATTAAAATCCAATAAAGGATCAGCATTGTCATTCTGATTCATGTAATAAATGCAGACACTCTTGGAAGAGAGGACACTTCCATTTTTTTCCCAGCTTCTTCCCCCCCTTTTCTCCCCCTCCCTATTTGTTCAGGTGCAGAAACCCTATGTGCCAATTCACACACATACTCTCCAAAAAACCCAGGACCTTCCAAGCACTATTTGCACAGCAGAGCCACTTTTCCAAGGCACTCAAGATCTGTATTTGAATTTTAAATGTAGAAGCTCGCTCTAAATACTTGCTGTAGCGCATTATCAATGTCCCTTTTACCACCCCTGCCTCTCCCTCCTCTATCCTGGTGACAATAATTCAGGCCTTGGGGGAACTCTTCTTTGCATTCCAGTCTCCGGGATCATACTTTTTGCAAACAGAGATCTAGATAAAGAATCTTCCTGCCTGGCATTATGGGATTTAATCTTCTCATAAGATGCTCTGTCATGAAACGAGGTTTGGACAGTTTGAAATCAGGCTGAGCGGGTGGAATTCAAGCCGGCTCCCTTGCAGCCCGCGTGGTACAGTCACACGACCCTGCCTGACACCCTCTAAATTTTGCCCCCAAGTCCGTGTGTTCCGAATCTCAATGAGCAGCTTGGGGTTACTCCACTCCTAGGAAATAGCTGCGGGAGTGGATTAAGGGGTGCGCTTGCGCTGAGGTCGTCAGACACCTTGCCCTGTGAAGACCATCTTTGCTACTGAAAGGGATGTTTCATACAGCCACAAGGCTGACAGCTTTCCAGGGCCTCCTTTGGGCTAGAAAGGACCGGGGAGCTGAACAAAAGTGGTAGCAGGTTCTCAGGACAAAGCCTACATGGGATGGGAGGGGTGCTACCTCTGCTCAGCCCCTGGGGAGCTTGGGGCTGGAGTGTGAGGGATGAGCCCTGCTTGCAGACAGGCATGGCAAGGCCAGCCCGGTTTCCCTGCCGTGGGGCTGCTGGTTTTGAAGCAAACGGCTATATTTAAAGAAAGCCCATTATTTTCTTTTGCAACCAAGGTGTTTCTTGACACTTCCAGCAGAATGCTGGGGTAGAGGATGCTATTAAAAAGCGCCTTAGCCACCTCGCAGCGGGGTGAGGTAGTGTGAGGGGTGTGAAGGTGGAGGGGTGGCACTTGCCAACCATTTTGCTCCCCCCAAAATAGTGTCAAGCGCCAAGAAAATAAACGCAGCCAGTCGGGGATTTCTTGCGAGCTGTTCCCGGCTTGAGACAGCGTGTGGCGTTCTAAGCACAGGGGAGGGGAGGGAAAAAATTATGTGTATGTGTATCCCTATCTGGGAATTTCCTAGCGGCTACCACTGAAGAAGGCAGGGGACCACGTTTCTTATTTATTTTCCTGGCCGGCTCCCACTCGGAGATTAGCGATCTCGAGTAAGGCATGCAGCCAGTGGAGACGGCCACTAGTGTTTGTGTTGAACATGCTCTTTGGATGGGGAAAGCTGCGAATCCCACGGGGGGAGGAGAAGGGTGTGTGGCTGCACGCAGCGCTCGTGGGAAGGCAGGGCAAGCAAATTACACAAATAAAAATGCTGTCAAAAAGTGCTGCAGCTGGCTGCTTGGGGTTTTTTTCTTTCCCCTTTTTCCCCCCTCTCCTTGCTTTCCCCACCCCAGTGCCAGCGGGGTCACGAAGAGGAGGAGGGAGGCAGGCTCTGCCCCCGGGGGCTCTGCTCTGCATCCCCGGAGGAGCCCCGACGGGGTGGGCAGGGTGATGGGGACCCTGCCAGGACCGGGAGGAGGGAGCCCGGACGGCATCGGGCAGGGCAGGGGAGGCTCAAGGGGGCTGAGCCGTGACGCAGGGGTGTCCTCCGCCACCGCGGCGTGTCCCTGGGCAGGCTGCCCGCCTTACCTGCTTTGACAGAGCAGTGGATGTGCGCCTTGGACTCGTAGTAGACCCAGTCGAAGCCGGCCTCGACGGCCAGGCGGGCCAGCATGCCGTACTTGCTGCGGTCCCGGTCCGAGGTGGTGATGTCCACGGCGCGGCCCTCGTAGTGCAGGGACTCCTCGGAGTGGTGGCCGTCCTCGTCCCAGCCCTCGGTCACCCGCAGCTTCACCCCGGGCCACTGGTTCATCACCGAGATAGCCAGGGCGTTCAGCTTGTCCTTGCAGCGCTGCGGGGAGACGGGTACATGGAGAGGGTGCTGCAGACAGGGGCAGACCCCCCTTCACCATCTATCCCCCTCCAGGGCCTCATCCTACGCTCCCTCCCCAACCAAATCGGCTGCAGTCCCGTCCCCCCCCATACACCCCCGCTCCGCTAAAACGCGCCGCAGGACGGGCCCAGCCAGGGCCGAGCATCTTCACCCCGCTGCCAGCGAGGGACGGGGAGGCAGGTGTGGAGGGGAGGGGGGAAACTTGGGGACGCGGGAGGAAGAGTGGGTGAAGCACCACGAAGACCCACCGGGACGGAGCCGCCCCCTCCCCCGGCACCTGCCGCGGGGACAGGGGCACCCCCGGCCCGTCCCCAGCGCTGGGGTCTGAGAGCGCCGGTTCAAAGCCACCTGCGCGGAGCAAATTCCTGCCGCTAAGTGCCCTGTCCCCTTCCCAAGAGCAAAGTTTCTGCGGAGAACAAACACTCGCCATACATCTCGGAGTCACGGATTCCCCCCCGGAATGTCTCTCCGTGTCTTTTCAGCTAATTCTGTGTTGAAAGGGATCTCAATACATGTTAACAGCCTTTATGCGCTGGAGGGAGGGGTGGCTTTGGGTTGTTTTTTTTCTTCTGTCCCTTCGCCCATCACTCATTAGAGCCCTCAAAGCAGCATGGGCTGGGAGTATTCACTCCGCTTCAAACATACATCGGCGCTCGCCTACAAAGCCGAGCAAATCCATACAATAATACAGCTCTTAGTGGGAAGATGAAAAGCAAGGGAAGGCCAGGGAGGGAAGTTAAGCGAAGCAGGGACGCAGTGCAAGCCAGGAGACCCTTTGTGTGGAGTGAAACGTTTCCAACTCCGGGGAGGGTTTTCCATCGCCCCTCCGGTGCCATCGTCCTTCCCCGGGGCTGCACTGGGCCCTGCAGCCCCGGGCGCCTGCGGGGACCGAGCGAATGGGCGGGGAGGGACGGGAAGAGGGGCTGCAGCTGTGGAGGGGACTGAGCGCTAATGAAACCCTGAAAGTTTGGGTGAACGATTCCTATCTGAACCAAGGAGGGGGAGACACACGCCGGCCGTAGGGGAAAAGTACTTGAACCCCCCAGACACAGACAATCAGCACCGAAAGCATTGAAAAGCGCTTGACTGAAGTTAACGAGGTAGAAATACACACGTTGCCAAATTCCCCCCCCCCCCTTTCTAAAACACAACCCTTCTTGAGAAGAAAATAACTCGTGGGTATACACGGTGTGACTCACACGATGCAAATATCGATGTGGATTAAAGCCACGGCGGATGCAGGAAGCTGCCCTTTCCTCATTTTTGCTGGCCTAACTGGGATGCTTGGCCTTCTGCAGGACCATTCGCCCCAGCGTGCTCCCAGCACACCCAGTAAAAGACCGCAAAGACCCCCTTCACAGCTCCCAGAAAGGGAAACCCCCTCCATTAGCCCGACAATGCTACTTTTAGGGGACATGACAAGGTTGCCCA